GGCAGATCACTTGAGGTCAGGAGTTCAAGACCAGCCTAGGCAACATGGCAAAAGCACTGTTTCTACTGAAAATACACAAATTAGCCCAGCGTGGTGGTGCATGCCTGTAATCCCAGCTAATCCTGTGGCTGAGGCATGAGAATTGCTTGAGCTGGGAGGTGGAGGTTGTCGTGAGACCCAGGACCGTGCCACTGCACTCTGGCCTGGGTGACAGGAATGAAACTCTGTCCCAAAAAAAGAAAAGTAGATGATCTTGGCCAGGTGCAGTGGCCCACACCTGTAATCTCAGCACTTTGGGAGGCTGAGGTGGAAGGATTACTTGAAGCCAGGAGATCAAGACCAGCCTCGGCAACATAGCGAGATCCTGTCTCTACAAAAAAAAATTATAAAAATAAAAATGAGAGAATTGGCCCTCAGGACTGGCCGCCCCGCATGGAAACAATCGGCTACTGTGGAGTCATGGTCGCCACTGCAGGTCCAGTCCAGGCTGTGCAGTTCGCCACAGTCCCCACCCTTCCCTACTGTCTTAGATCTCAGCTACTGTCTTTGGTGTCTGCCCTGCCCCTTGGCTTCTGCACTTAGGACCCCCAGCCCAGCCTTCTGGGTGTAATTTTGCAGCATTCTGCTTGGCCAGGGAGCGGGACCTTACTGCCTCCCACCTCTTTCTGGGGTGTGCTGTCTGAACACTCTGGCTGGAGTTGGAGAACATCTGCCACTCTGCCTTTCTGCCACACTTTTACAATTTAATGTCATTTAATTTTGAGACACTGTCTTGCTCTGTCACTGAGGCTGGAGCGCAGTGGTGCGATCATAGCTCACTGCAGCCTCCATCTCCCAGGCTCAGGTGATCCTCCCACCTTAGCCTCCCAAGTAGTTGGGACTACGAGTGCACACCACCACACCTGGCTTTTTAAAAAAAATTTAGTAGAGATGAGGTCTCACTATGTTGCCCAGGTTGGTCCCAAATTCCTGGCTTTAAGCAGTCCTCCTGCCTCGGCCTCCCACAGTGCTGGGATTACAGGCATGAGCCACCACATCCAGCCTACAGATATCATTTTTTCATCTTCACACAAAGCTTGGAGACCTAGAGGTTACAGGGAAGACATCTGAGGCTCAGAGAAGTTAAGTGACACCCCTGTGGTCACCCAGCAAGCCAGCAAACCCCGGGGCATTTTGCCTCGATGATTCTCTGCCCTTAGAGCCCTTTGGAGGGGGCGCTCTCCCTCTTCCCCCTCTGTCTCCCGTCTGTTCTGCGTCTATTCTGATGCCGGGCTGGGGAGCAGGGCCAGAGCAGGGAGGAGAGATGCGTGACAGAGGTGGCCTCCAGGGGCCATTCCCAGGGCTGGGGAAGGAGAGGCGGGCATCCTGCTTTCTTCAAAAGGGACTGAAGTCTTCAGGAGGAGGGTTGAGCTCAGGTCTTCTATGGGAAGGGAGACATCTCTCACTCTGGCCCCGTGGCCCACCCCTCGAGCGCGTTACCCCATGCCTACAATCTTCAAATCTTTCTTTGGGGATGGAGGAGGAGGGGGCTTCCCATCCCACCGGGGACCCAGGGTCGCCAAAGGGGATTCCTGGTGTTGGAAATAGATCCTCCGTGCCACAAAGAAAATTGAGCACTGAGACAAAGAATCTTTCAGCAACACAATTTTTACTTCCTGGACTGCAGTAAGGGCACCCTCACTAGTCATTGTGTCATGAGAGCACAATGAACAAAGGAACACACACAAATTTATCCCTTGTGCATCTGGGGTTGTCCCTACTGCTGTGTCTGATCTCCGTTGGCTGGAGCCAGACCTCACAGTCTAAACTAAAACCCGATTGGCTAATAACTGAAAACTTTTCTGAGCAGGTAAAAGCAATGGAGAGCTGGGACATGCCTGTGAGCACGTCCAGCACAGATATCTTGGTTACAGTGCAAAGGACACAGAATGTACTACGTGCCTGTAAGCATGGCATGTCTCACAGCTACACAGGATAGGGCTTAACAAAGTTAATAGCACGCTTATTCTTTAACAAGAAAGGAAACTTTCAAAAGGAACTTTTCTACTTCCCACACTTAGCGAGACCTCGCCAACCAGGGAAACTGCAGTTTCAAGAATGGCCACCAGGTGGGGCACACACCCCACACATGGTGACACCTGCAGCCAACCTGGATCCCAGAGAGCGGGTGGGGTTCCTCCCAGCCCAGCAGCCCCCAGCCGGGCCCTCCCCACCGTGCCACAGTCCCATGCAGCCAGGTGCAAGGGGCCCTAAGACTCAGCACAGTCCTTCATCAGATCAGCAAACATTTTTTTTTTCCGAGACAGGGTCTCGCTCTGTAAGCCAAGCAGGAGTGCTGTGGCATGGTCGGAGCTCACTGCAGCCCCGACCTCCTGGGCTCCAACCATCCTCGCACCCCAATCTCCCCAGTAGCTGGGGCCACAAACACACGCCACTACACCTGGCTAACTTTTGTATCTTTTGTAGAGATGGGATCTCACTATGTTGTCCAGGCTGGTCTCAAACTTCTGGGCTCAAGGGATCCTCCTGCCTTCACCTCCCAAAGTGCTGAGCAGACATTTTTGAGCATCCTGTCTGAACCAGAGGGAGAAAGGACTGTGTCCCCTGGCCACACAGCAGGCCTTACCTCTCCATCACCTTGTCCGCCCTTGGGGCATGGAGACCTGGAGCTGGGAAGATGCGTCCTTCAGGACCTCCTGGGGCCTCCTCAGAGGCCATATTGGGAAGCATTTTGTCACAAGCCTGGTTCTTGACCCTAAGCAGAGAGACAGTAGGGTGTGAGAGAGGGATTTGGAGCTAAGCAACTTCAACTGTGGCCTGGCTATGTGACTTTGGGCAAGGGACCAAGCCTCTGGAGCCTCAGTTTCCCCACATTTAAAATGGGAACGAAAGCAGTTCTTGGTATCAGTGAGGTTCATACGTGCAAAACTGGTTTGTAAGATGTAAAACCAACAACTGCAAGGCGATGTGAGCGCCTTTGCCTGTTTGGGGAGTCCCGGGTAGGCGGGGCTCCTGGGGAAGGCGGACCGACTGCTCCGGTGTCCAGGCCTGGAGCCACTGGAGGCTGGGGGTCCACGGTGTTCTGATGCCCTGTCTCCTCTCCCCAGGCCCCCCGGGGCAGACAGGACCACCTGGGCCTGCAGGCCCCCCGGGCTCCAAAGGTGACCGAGGCCAGACAGGAGAGAAGGGCCCAGCAGGGCCTCCTGGTAAGAAAACCCCCCACACATGTGATATTGTCAACCTGTGGAAGAAGCTGGGCTTCCTCCCCTACTCCAACAGGCGAGGTGTCCCACGCACCCAAACCCCTGATGCTGTGGGTACAGGAAAAACAGGGACTTTTTTTTACATTATTTTTTATTTTTTGAGATGGGAGTTTCACTCTGTCGTCCAGGCTGGAGTGCAGTGGCGCAATCTTGGCTCACTACCACCTCTGCCTCCGGGTTCAAGCGATTCTCCTGCCTCAGCCTCCCGAGTACCTGGGATTACAGGCATCTGCCACCATGCTTGGTAATTTTGTATTCTTAGGAGAGATGGAGTTTCTCCATGTTGGCCAGGCCGGTCTCAAACTCCTGACCTCAGGTGATCCACCTACCTTGGCCTCCCAAAGTGCTGAGATTACAGGTGTGAGCCACTGCGCCAGCATTTTTTTTTTTTTTTTTTTTTTTTTTTTGACATGGAATCTTGTGCTCTCTCGCACAGGCTGGAGTGCATTGGCACGATCTAGGCTCACTACAACCTCCACCTCCCTGGTTCAAGCAATTCTCCTGCCTCAACCTACCGAGTAACTAGGATTACAGGTGCTCACCACCACGCCTGGCTAATTTTTGTATTTTTAGTAGAGATGGGGTTTCACCATGCTGGCCAGGCTGGTCTCCAGCTCCTGACCTCAGGTGATCTGCCTGCCTCAGCCTCCCAGAGTGCTGGGATTGCAGGAGTGAGCCACCACACCTGGCCAAAACAGGGTCTTCAGAGGGCTTCGGGTACAGGCATGAACATTGAGGCTGTCAGGGGCCAGGAGCTGTTCTCAGCTACTTCAGCACCTCCGGAGACCACCCTCCCAGCTCCTCCTGGGTCCTGCAAGGGAAGGACCCCGGGCTCAGCAGGTGCAGGGCCAGCCCAGGATGGTGGCTTATACTTGGTGTCCCTGCCACAGAGCTGCAGTCCCTGGGAGGGACCAACAGGCCTCTGGCCGGAGCCTTTGCTGATTTCACCGTCCCTGCCCGCCTCACCCTCCCCAGCTGCCCCCAAGTGTCCCCTCTGGACTGGTCTGGGAAGGGGAGGCCATTGCATTTACATCCCAGGACACCCCCCAGGAAGACGGTGGATCGGAGGCCACCACGGACTGGCTGTGTGCCCTGACCAACCCTGTTTCTTTCATGGCCTCAGTTTCCCCATTTGTGATGTCTCAGCCTCCCGCCAGGCTCCGGCCGCCACCGTGACTATTCTTTTCTTCACTGCAGGGCTCTTGGGGCCTCCAGGGCCCCGTGGGCTTCCTGGAGAGATGGGGCGCCCTGGCCCCCCAGGACCACCTGGCCCAGCAGGCAGCCTGGGCCCCTCACCAAACAGCAGCCCCCAGGGCGCCCTCTACTCCCTGCAGCCACCTACAGACAAAGACAGTAAGTGTGGCCCGTGGGGAGCCAGGGGCGTGACAGTATCTGCTTTCGGGGGCTGCCGCGGGGCTCAGGGTGATGGGAGGAGCCCCCTGGGCTCCATGTGGCCTGGCTCAGGGCTCAGTGCCCCCCAGCACTGCCAGCTCTGCCCCGCCAGAGCCCTGGCTGCTCTGCTCTTCCCACAGATGGAGACTCAAGGCTGGCCTCTGCCATCGTGGACACAGTGCTGGCAGGCATCCCAGGACCCCGGGGTCCCCCTGGCCCACCAGGTAAGTGAATGGTGGGCTGGCCTGCATTGAGGACTCCAGCCCCCCAGGGCTGGGCCTGAGCCAAGGGGCCTCCAGGGGAGCTGGAGGCGGGCCGGGGGTCCATGGCTTCCTGACAGTGCAGGGGACTGGGTCTGTCCCACCTGCCATGTGGCAGGAAGTGAAGCCCCTCATTTCCTGGTGGCTGCAGCCCTGGAGGACTGGATGCATGAAACCCACGTGGTTCTGCTGGAATAAGATGGCTGCATGTGGCTGCCTTTGCATGGGCCACAGCGGGACACACACTGGGGGAATGAGGTCAGGACAGGGGTGGCAGGAAGTCACTAACTTTGAGGCAGAAACCAAGGGCCTGGGGGCTCAAAGGGGCTGGGACTTGGCCATCAGTCCTGGCCTGACCTTCCATCGTCCACGTTCCTCACTGGGAAAGGAGTGCAGGGCTGACCACCTTGCTCCTCTCTCCCGGGAAGGGAGTCATTCATTCATTCATTCATTCATTCATTCCTCTGTGCATCCCACAAACATTCATTGAGTGTCTGCTACTCCATGTGCTGGGCAGTGATCTAGGCTTCTGGGACACCTGAATAATCAAAACAAACGTCACCGTGACACTATCTTTCTAGTGGAGGACAGGAATGTCATCAAATCCGTGACTTCCGTAGGATCTGAGAGTTACAAGGGAGAAGCTGGGGCGTGGCGGGGAGGTGCCGTCAAAACGTGACATTTCAGCAGATGCTCTAGGGAGGAGACGGAATGAGCTCGGAGAGTACCTGGGGGCCTTTGGGTGACAGGCTAGGTCTCAGGAGAGCTGGATAGGGTCCTGATGTTTGTTCCCCAGAGTGCCTGTCCTCACATGCCCTCTCCAAACCTGCGAGCTGGGCCATGCTGGACAGCCCAGCCCGGGGCTCCCTACGCCATGGGAGGCATGGGCCCGTGCAGGCCATGGGAGACTGAGGCCTCACTCTTCCAAGCAGCTGGAAACTAGTCATGAATCTTTCTCTGTGAGCTGGGCACACACATGAGACCCAGCCTGGCCCTCTGGATACTCCACAGCCCTTGGGGGAGACAGACATGTAAACCTCAGTGGCCATGAGCAGTGGCTGGTTTACATAAGGGATTTGTCTAGAGGAGCATTGGAAAGCTGGGAAGGCTTCCTGGAAGAGGTGATGCTCTGTGACAGACTAGTAGGAAAACCAACAGGAAAGGGTTTACTGGGAAAGTGGAGGGATAGGGAGGCTCCAGGAGGAAGGAACAGCTTTAGCAGAGACGCCAGGAGGGTGTCCAGCTGGGGCAGGGAGGGTGGGAAGGGGCTGGGCTGAGGACTTCGGGAAACCTGAAAGACAGTTAATTGGGCTTGCATTTTTGAAAGCATGCTCTGAGCGGGGGCACATGGAGGGTGGAAGGCCAGGAGGCTGCTATACCCCGGCAAGAGGGATGGGTCCCAGGTCCCGAGGCGGGCCAGACCTGAGATGTACGCGGACCAGCTGGCTGGGGCGTGGGCCGGTCTAGATGGGCTTCCTCCCTCATCTGCCAGGTCTTGGGATTTGGGAGGACTCATGGATGAGGCCCTGGGAGGAGGAGGTGTGAGAGCTGTGGGCAGCCGGTGGATACGGTTCTGGGCCCCAAGGATGGAGACCTGGGTAGGGGTGGGGGTGCCTCCCTCCTCCCCCCCATTCATTTCCAAACCCTCCTTTGCTGCCCAGGGAGACAGATCCAGAACAGGTACTGGGGTGGGAGGCTGGGGGCGCCCCTCTCTGGCCCCAGATGACCAACTGTGATTCTGCCCACAGGTCCTCCTGGGCCACGAGGTCCCCCAGGACCACCTGGATCCCAGGTAAGGATTTTGCCATTTTAGGTATGGTGTGGGAGGCATCGGGTGGGGGTGATGCTGTCTCCTAGGGGAGAAGAAGCACCTTCTTACCAGCAAGAGTCACTCAGGAAGGAGCCGGTCGGCCTGGCCAGTGAGATTTTATTTTGTTTTGTTTTATTTTTATTATTTATTTATTTATTTTTAAGACACAGTCTCGCTCCTGTCCACCAGGCTGGAGTGCAATGTTGTGATCTCAGCTCACTGCAACCTCTGCCTCCCAGGTTCAAGCGACTCTCCTGCCTCAGCCTCCTCAGTAGCTGGGATTACAGGCACCTGCTACCACGCCTGACTAATTTTTATATTTTTAGTAGAGACAGGGTTTCGCCATGTTGGTCAGGCTGGTCTCGAACTCCTGACCTCCAGTGATCTGCCTGCCTCAGCCTCCCAAAGTGCTGGGATTACAGGCGTGAGCCACTGCGACCGACCAATTTTTTTTATTACTTTTTTTGAGACAGAGTCTCCCTCTGTCACCCAGGCCGGAGTGCAGTGGCACGATCTCAGCTCATGCAACCTCTGCCTCCTGGTTCAAGCGATTCTCCTGCCTCAGCCTCCAGATTAGCTGGGACTATAGGTGCCTGCCGGCACACCCGGCTAATTTTTGTATTTTTAGTAGAGACAAGGTTTCACCATGTTGGCCAGGCTGGTCTCGAACTGCTGACCTCAAGTAACCCACCTGCCTCAGCCTCCCAAAGTGCTGGGATTACAGACATGAGCCACCGTGCTTGGCTGAGATTTTAATTTTATTAGCAGCAGCAACTCTTTGCTGACTATATCCTCTTCCTATTGTGTCAGGGAGGTGTTGGCATCACCCCCATTTCACAGATGAGTGAACTGAGTCCCAGAGAGACCAGATGCTGCTTGAGGTTGCACAGAGGATGCAGGCAGAGCTGGGCCAGGTCACAGAATCTCCACTTCAGCCTCTCATCCTGCCCTGAGAATTGCCCATGGGGAGGCGTCACCCCAAGCCCGATTCAGCCCCAAACCCCAAGCTCGCCCTGCCTCTGCAGCTGTGTCAGAAGGCAGGAAGAGCAGGTGCAAAGGCCCCGAGTCAGGGAAAAGGCTCAGGGAGTGAGCAAAGGAGTGTGTAGTGTGGGATGAGGCGCAGTGGGCAGGGGTCTTACCTGCGGTGCCCAGGAGAGGGCTTTTGTCACAGTGGAGGGAATGACTGAGTTTAGGGAGGGCGATTCCATGATCTCATTTACATCTTTAAAGGCTCCTGTGGCCGGGCAGGCATGTGGCTCATGCCTGTGATCCCAGCACTTTGGGAGGCTGAGGCGGGAGGATCACGAGGTTAGGAGTTCAAGACCAGTCTGACCAATATGGTGAAACTCCGTCTCTGCTAAAAATATGAAAATTAGCCGGGCATGGTGGCTTTCACCTGTAGTCCCAGCTACTCGGGAGGCTGAGATGGGAGGATCGCTTGAGCCCAGGAGTTGGAGACTGCAGTGAGCTCTGACGGTACCGTTGCCCTCCAGCCTGGGTGACAGAGCAAGACTCTGTCTCATTAATTAATTAATTAATTAATTAATTCTGTAAAAATGGAAAGTAGACTTGGCATGTTCGGCTGATGGAATAGATCTGGTGCGAAGGCCAGGGAAGGCTCTAGGTTCACTCCGCGGTGTCTGCCAGGAGCCGCTGGAGGACCAGGCAGGCATTTCCTGAGAAAGGGAGGCTTCGGGGTGGGGGGCACCAGGAGTTCCCTTTGGAGAAAGGGAGAGTGGGCGTGTCGTGGTCAGCTGGGTGGAGATGTCAGGGGACAGCCGGACACGGGCCTGGGGCTCCTGGGAGCCGTCTGGGCTGACGTCAGCACACGTGGGAACCTAGCCATCACTGTTGGAACCATCACTGGTTCTCCCCACACACTGAGCCACCTGCTCCCCTTCTCTGCCTGACAGCCGTATGTGGCATCGCCCCATTTTACAGGCAAGAAGACTGAGGGCTCAGCTGGGATCCGAAGTCAAATACCAGCTCCAGGTGGTTCCAGGACTGGAGGCCTTTGAGCCTGCCCTTCCCATGCCCGCCGGGCCATCCTCCTCTCCCTTTTTCTTCTGCAGACTCAGAGAGCAGTCGGGGGTGGCTGGAGGGCACTCAGATTCAGCCAGGACAGGCAGGCCCTCACATGCTTCCTTTGTTTCTCTGCAGGGTCTGGCTGGAGAGCGAGGCACGGTGGGGCCATCCGTAAGTGTGGGCTTTGCAGATGGGCCGGGTGGCGGAGGTGGGGACTCTGCCCTGGGCGGCCCTGCTGGAGCTCAGGCCACAGGGAGTGACTGAGAAGCCCTGAAATAACCTTCTGTCTTGGGGTGGGGAGGGGAGCGACCTGCAGAGGGGGAACGACAGTCCTGGGCGCCTGCCGCCCTGGGTTAATGCACTGTGTGACCCGGGCCTTTCATTCGAGTGCTGTGCGGCCTAAGGCCACAGGTTAACGCGCCGTGTGACCTGGGAATCCCTTCCTGTCCAGAACCTCCCAGAAATAGGCTTAGACCCCTGGCCTCTAATCGCCTTTCTTGGAAACAAGAATTTATGAGTCTCCCAGCCTGGCCAACATGGTGAAACCCTATCTTTACTAAAAATACAAAAATTATCTGGGTGTGGTGGTGGGCACCTGCAATCTCAGCCACTTGGGAGGCTGAGGCAGGAGAATTACTTGAACCCAGGAGGTGGAGGTTGCAGTGAGCTGAGATCATGCCACTGCACCCCAGCCTGTGCAACAGAGTGAGACTCCATCTCAAATTAAAAGAAAAAAAAAGAATTTATGAGTCTCAACTCCTGCCTCTAGGGCCAAGGAGTCAGGCGCTTCCTTGATGCCCAAGCCTCACTGCAGGGATATGGGGCAGGGAGGAGATATGGATCTTTGATGAGTACCTATATGTGCTGGCCACAGTGGAGGTGCTCCCTTCCCCCACAGCGCATGAAAGCTTCACAGCGACCCCAGGAGATCATACTTTATTGTCCCCGTTTGCCAAAACTGGCCGCTTAAGGCTCAGAGAGCTTAAGTCACTTGCCCAAAGCCACACAGCGAGGCAGCGGCAGAGCCTGGATTTGAACTGGGGAGTGTCAAGCACCAAAGCCATGCCTCCTCCCGTGCTTGCCTAGTGACCAAACACAACAGAGGAGACACAGCGATGGCATGCCTAGGTGCCAGGCCTTAGCCTAAGCTCATTGACTAACTTCATCCTCCCAATACCAGTCTGAGATAGATACTTTTAACTGATCCCACTTTAGAGGTGAGAAAACTGAGGCACCACACCAAGAAGTAGAGTGACCCGCTCAAGGTCACACAGTAGTAGCTGGACATTTAGATGTTACTGTGAGCCAGGCATGGTGGTGGCCCATGCCTGTAACCCCGGTGCTTTGGGAGACCGAGGTGGGAGGATCATTTTGAGGCCAGGAATTCAAGGCCAGCCTGGACGACATAGTGAGACCCCCGTCTCTACAAAAATATTTAACCATTAGCTGGGTTGTGATGGTGCATGCCCGTAGTCCTAGTTACTCAGGATGCTGATGTGGGAAGATCATTTGAACCCAGGAGGTAGAGGCCGCAGTGAGCCATGATTGTGCCACTGCACTCCAGCCTGGACAACAGAGCAAGGCCCTGTCTCAAAAAAATCAGCCGGGCTAGGGGTTCATGCATGTAATCCCAGCACTTTGGGAGGCTGAGGTGGGTGGATAACAGGTCAGGAGTTCAAGACCAGCCAGGCCAACATGGTAGAGCCCTGTCTCTTCTAAAAATACAAAAAGTTAGCTGCGCATGGTGGCGTGCGCCTGTAGTCCCAGCTATTCTGAAGGCTGAGACAGGAGAATCGCTTAAACCAAGGCCAGCCTGGACAACATAGTGAGACCCCCATCTCTACAAAAATATTTAAACATTAGCTGGGTTGTGATGGTGCATGCCCGTAGTCCTAGTTACTCAGGATGCTGATGTGGGAAAATCATTTGAACCCAGGAGGCAGAGGTTGCAGTGAACTGAGATCGTACCACTGCACTCCAGCCTGGGTGAGAACGTGAGACTCCGTCTCAGATACATGTGACCTTGAAGCTGGTATTACCAGCCCCATGCTAGAGACAAGTAGCAGCCCTTCGAGGCAGGGTACTCCATGCCGGAGGGGCCCAGGGATGAGCTTGCTGGGTTCCCACCCGAGTCACTTCTGCCCCAGAGACAGAATGTAGCGCCTAAAGCCAACCGTGGACCCTCCCCCCACCCATGCCAGGTTGTGCAGGGTGTGTCCTGGGGCCGTGGCCTCCCCTCCTTGGCTCACCCCAGGACAGGAGTCCCCTGGACCCAGCCGCCACCTGCGCAGCCTGCCCCTGACTCCCTACAGGCCCCCAGGCAACTGGAGAGGGTGGACAGGCGCCCCCACCTCCCACGCCGGTGTTGACTGTGTGACTTGCTTCTTAGGGTGAACCTGGCATGAAGGGGGAAGAAGGAGAGAAAGCCCCCACTGTGGAGGTAAGTATGCCTGCCGGCCACATTCCCTCCCGCCTCCTTGCCGTGAGCACCATCACGGGAGGGCGGGCATCCCACAGATCTGCACTGACCCTCAGCCAGCCTGAGCTGGTGCTGGGCATCGGCTGGACAGGGTCCCTGGCCTGAGGCGTTCACAGCCCAGTGGGGAACTGCGTACAGCAGTGGTTGCAAGAGACTGAGAAGGTGGCTGGGAGGGGAGCCACAGAGGGGTGACTGGTCCTTGGGGGGCTTCTCGAGACAGGGAGAGGAGTCACAAACCTGTAGGAAAGACAGTCCCCCGGCAGAGGCTTCAGGCTGAGGAGTCCCTCTCAAGGGACCAGGTCCTCCCATGAATGGCATCTGAGCCTGGACGTGGCCACAAGGTCAAGGTGTTGGAGGACTGATGGGGACGGGCTGCTGGATGTGGGAGAGGATGGATGGAGGAAGAAGGGCTTGCAGACTGGGAATCTAAGGAGAGAAGACTGGAGCAAGCAGAGGCTGGGGCTGGGGGAGGGGGCAGCGGGGGCAAGGGCTTGGCCATGGGGACCCTCAGCTTCTGGGAGGAGGAGGGGAGGCTGGGGTGGGGTGGTGGATGGAGGGGAGGAAGGGCTCATCTGAGGTCCAGAGTCAAACGCCTCCCCTCCGCTGGCCCTGAGCTGGGTGCTGGGCCAGCAGGTGCACAGAGTCCCTGCCCTGAGAGGCTCACAGCCCAGTGGGGGCACAGCTGAGGGCAGCAGTGATTACAAGAGAATGAGAAGGTTGTTGCATGGGGGTGCCGCTGAGGTGGGCCGGGAGGGGAGGCCTTGAAAGCTAAAACCGAAAGTGTCCGAGAGAGGCTCCCGCTGGGGGTGTCGGAGCTGGGCGGGCTAAGCAGCTGGAAGGGCCAGGCTGGGTCCAGGGCACCTTCAGGAGGTCCTTGAAAGACCAGAGGAAGGGAAGAGGCTGGAATCACGGCAGCCTTGGGGGGTGCAGGGGGCAGCGAGGCGTAAGAGGTGAGAGGGGCTGAGGCATGAGCCCAGATACGCTGGTCACTCACAGCGGGACCCTGATAGGTGACCGTGACCCCTCCCTTTCATAATCTGCCCTGGCACGGTGGTCATGCCTGTAATCCCACCACTTTGGGAGGCTGAGGGAGGAGGATCGCTTTAGCCCAGGAGATCAACACCAGCCTGGGAAACAGAAACATAGCGAGACCCCATTTCTTAAAAAAAAAAAAAAATTAATGAGCCAGGTGTGGTGGCATGTGCTTGTCCTCCCAGCTACTCGGGAGGCTGAGGCGGGAGGATCGCTTGAGCCCGGGAGGCTGAGGCTGCAGTGAGCTATAATCATGCCACTGTACTCCAGTCTGGGTGACAAAGCAAGACCCTGTCTCTAAAAACTAAAAAAAAAACAAAAAAAACCACAACAACCGGGGGTGGGAGTCTAGGCAAGGGATAGCAGGGGGTGGGGGATGGGGGAGGGGAAGGGGGGACGGGGGTGGGGGTGGGGGATAGGGGAGGGATAGCATTAGGAGAAATGTAGATGACACGGTGACAGGGGCGGCAAACCACCGAGGCACGTGTATACCTGTGTAACAAAGCTGCACGTTCTGCACAGGTACCCCAGAACCTAAAGTGTCATAATAATAAAACAGCAACAGCCACCATCGGTGGCTTAGGAATGTGTGGCTCAGCCAGGTCCTTGGTCCCCTGCTCCTTCCCTGACATTCCCACTGCCTTAGGACTCCCGGCAGACAGTCCTCTCTCCTATAACCCAGTGGGACGCTTTTTGGTTTCCTTTTGTTTCATTTTAAGTGAAATTAATCTGAACATGAGACAGATCAGTCAAGTTACACCAGCAAAAGGCGCCCATTCTGCTGCCAGCTCCCGGGGCTGGGCAGGCTGGGGACAGCAGTGGCTTTGTCTCTTCACCATCACCTTTCATTCCAGAGTGGCCTTGACACCTGCCTTCTTAATAAGTCAGCACCCTCTCTTGGCCCATTCAAGGGTCTCCATGCACAAGGTCCTCTGCCCCTGTGTAGACCGGGTCCCTGAAGTGTAGACGCCACCATCGCGCCAGCTGCCCACCGGCACTTTGTGAAGTGGTGGCTTTCTCTGCTGTCTTTCTTGCCTGGTGTGGTCACACCAACCCTCCCCTTTGCCTGCTGTTTGCTGGAGAGCTCTCAGCTGGGCATTCCGGGAAGGAAACAAGCAAAGACCCTCCCACTTCCAGGCCCTGGGATAGGTGCCCTGCCCTGGTTAGGGTATTTTCAGAGCCTGCCAGGGAAGCAGCCAGCCAGCCATGGTGGAAGGAAGAGCCCAGGGTCGAGGCCGACGGGTGGACCTGCAGTGTGGATTGGCCGCTTTGCCAGGCTGTGTGGCCGTAGGGAGGTTGCCTGTCCTCTCTGTGTTTCAAGTTCTATGTCTGTGAATGGGGTTTGAAGCCTGGCCTGGCGCATAGCTGATGATGTTCAGTCTATGATCACTTGCAGTGTGAGGGTGTTGGGTGGGAAGAGGCAGGCCCTGACCCTGGACGTTTCCTCTCTGCCAGAGTGAGGGGGTCAAGCAGCTGAGAGAGGCCTTGAAGATCCTGGCAGAGCGAGTCCTCATCCTGGAGCACATGATTGGGGTCCATGGTGAGCAGTGACCAGGACCAGCAGACCGGGAACCTCCCCCCCTCCCTCCCCTCCCTCCCTGCTGCCCTCATAGCTGCTACCTCGGGTCTCTGGTCTCCCTCCCTTACTCCTAGTCCGATCCTGCCCCTCCCCTGCTCAAAGACCCTCCATGGCTCCCTACTGCCCATGACGGACTTCCAAGTGCATCAGCCCAGTTTCACAGACCCTCCCTAGTATAGCCACAGCAAGCAGAGCACTGACCAGCCATGTTGACACCCCTCCCACCTCCATGCCTGTGCTCAGGCTGTCCCTCTGCCTGGTGAGCAGACCGCCACTTTGGGACCTGCTCCAAGATCTGCCTCTGTGAACCTTCTCTGAGCCCTCCTTTTTGTCCCTACGGTGCTCTGGGGAGCCTTCCATTCCATGATGGGATGGTGTTTCTGTGATCCTCTGGGAGTCCCCCATGCAGAACAGTGAATGGTGCCTCTGCATGGCCTGAAGTATTTGTTGGAGAATGAATGGGTGAATGGACAGGTGGGTAGGTGTCAGGGAGCAGTGGATGAGTGAATGAATGGCTGGTTGCCTGGATGAATGTACAAATAGGTGGATGCATGGATAGATGAATGCATGAACGGTTGAATGGACAGGTAGATAAGTGGATGAGGGGGTAGATGGGTAGATGCATGGATGAATGAATGAATGGGTGGATGGATGGATGAGTGGACAGGTGGGTGGGTGAATGAGTGAATGGATGGATGGATGGATGGATGAGTGGACAGGTGGGTGGGTAAATGAGTGGATGGATGGATGGATGGATGGGTGAGTGGACAGGTGGGTGGGTAAATG